ACCTCAGCGTTAAGCATCATTTCGTGCTGCTGCAGTCAGTACCTCTGGCACAAACGCTGGCTGCTGTCACTGTTCCAAAATACTATTTACTTCCCTTGTTGAAACCCACGAGAAGTGGGCACCCAGCAGCTCATTTTATGACATCTGCTAGGGGAGCAGGGAGGAGGCTGTAGTCAGCACAGCCCACAGCAGAGATGGAGCCTATTTAAAGCTGGTCTCTTTTGACAGACACGTTAGGATGAGCAAAAGTGTCCCCTAAGCTATTTAAATTTGCTAAAATAGAGTCACACAACATCCAAAAGCAATGGAAAGGAAATCACGAGGAGACTTTCAGAATGCAAAACAAAACAAACAAACAAACCCAACAGAAACAACACCCAGCAATTCTACCAAATAAAATATCTTCAAAAGCTTCTTATTGTTTTCCCCCAGACGTTACTGAGATGACAATCAATCAGTCTGGCTACTTTGACTTCGTACAATATAATACCAGAGGAGTTAGCAAAAATGAAGTATTAAATTATTCAGTGTTTGAGCGATGGTGTAATGAAGATGTGGCTGGAAAGGACAAACTGCAAAACAAGTATTTTCCTCTTACTGCAACTCATACTGCTGCTTTCTTCCTGGGAGAAATTCAAACGTTACTTTTCGATGCACAGAACTGAGATCTCAGCTTTTTGCTGTGTATTTTTAAGTCAAATTATTCCAGTACTCACATGCAACAGAAAAACGTGCTTTGTATCTCTCAATATTTTGTGTTTACAGCTGCCTTGCATTTCCTTTTTAAGATTCTCCTGTTGCAAATCCCCACACTGTTAAGCTTATAAAGAACGTTAAGTGAAGAGGCTGAGCTTTGGATACATGGAGTACAGATGTAATTCATGCATAAGCCCAAGGAATCACGAAGATAACCGTGTTTGGATACATACTGCATTCACAGAACAGCAAAATTACATTTTTAAGCTTTAAAATGCCACCATTTCCTCATAAAGCTTTTAAGCTGGAAGTACACAAACTAGATCCATACCATTCACGTTCTCCAAGGAAAGCTCAGATGCATTTTGAGTATGCACAAATACACCAGCTGCACTATTTACCTTAAGTCTTTTTCAAGATTCATAACCACTATTTGTAATGCCTTGCAAAATATAGCAGCCATCCACACCTAAAGGGGGCTTCAGGAAAGGGGGGGGTGGGACTTTTTATAAGGGCAGATAGCGATGGGACAATGTGAAATGGCTTTAAACTAGAAGAGAGTAGACTTAGACTATGTATTAGGAAGAAATTCTTCACTGTGAGGGTGGTGAGACACTGGAACAGAGAGACTGCAGATGCCCCCTCCTTGGAAGCATTCGAGTCCAAGCTGGATGGGGCTGTGAGCAGCCTGGCCTAGAGGGAGGTGTCCCTGCCCATAGCAGGGGGCTGGAACTAGATGGTCTTAAAGGTTCCTTGAAACCCAAAATGTTCTATGATTCTATGAACCCAAGTCCATTAACTGTATCACAATAGCCAAAAGCACAGTGATCAGATGAGTACTATTTCACATATTTCATACAGTTTTTACGTATAGCTGAAGGCACCAAAGTTGCTTATCGAGCCTTGAAACACAAGCAGAAAACAGTAACTGGAATTCATACAAAGCTGATGCTACAAAAAGTGAAAGCAGACACCTGACAAAATGGAAATTGCTGTTTGCCACTGCATGCATCTCAGGGCCAAAATATCAGATAGCTTCAAAATAACTCATTAAAAGCAATTAATTTATTCTTAAGTTCCCACATCTTTATTCTAACATTCAATCTTTTAATTTTCTTCTGGCAGCTGCACTAAAACCTTAAGCTGTTCTGAGCGGCTGAATGACACGCTCTGGGCATCACGGTTTATTAACTCATGATGGATGAGCAGCACACCTTCCAACTCTTTGATCGCTGGTAAAGATTTTTAATTATCTTTCACATGTTTATTGCAAGTTTCTACACGGGCGGAAGAAAACTCAAATGAAGCCAAGCATTCATAATTCAAATGGCAAGACATCAACTCCGACTAATTTAATATCAGAACCTGTTTTTAAAACAGTTCTTGGAACTTCAGTACTGGGCATGTTTTTCATTGCTGGTCACAGAGCAAGTAGGAGTTCTGTACTGACAGTAGGTGTTAATACTCATTTAAAGCTATTTTCACAATGAGCTGATAGCACACAGTCTGCTGAGCAGGATTTGAGGCGTTCTGCCCCATTTAGGAGCAGATCAAACTTTCAAATCTCCATCTTTCCTTTGTCATTACGACAGAAGGCTGTCAGAATTCTACATCTTATTTTCTCCCTCATTAGAACACCGGAAACCAGAATATAATTCTGACAGATTCAGCCTGCATACAGCCACCTATACGGGCAGTTGTGTTCAAAATAAAGCAAAGTTATCAAAATAAATATCTATACCATGCATTAAATTTAAACATTGGCTTTTTCCCCCAGTTTTTCTTAACACGTTTAAAGAATGTTTTGAGGACAGAATGCTTGTAAAGCCAACTCAACCAGTCTGCAGCAAAACTGACCTACAGAAAATGTGCTGTAAAAAAAGTCATTTAAGACTGAAACCTTACAGTGCTGAATTAATGGACTTTAGACAATCTCAATTTTACTACTGCTCAACTTCTGAGCAGTTTTTAGAGATTTTAGCACGTCTCTCCTTTCCCTGGACGGGATAGCAGTAAAACTGAAAATCCTTGACCTACTGCACAAACCCAAGAGTCCAGACAAACGTCTAAAGGCTGATAACCTCTTCTGTGGGTTGACGTATTTTGCTAGAAGATTTTATACTTCCTCTCTAGAAGAATGGTAAGACTCATTGGATCTGCTCCAGATTGGAAGTGTCTAGCACTGATTATTTCCATTACTCCCACATTTCAGCTCCATTCCATTCAGTCTCGCCAGGTCAGGATCCTCACCAGAAAATTATACTTGCTGAAAGATCCCACATTCTATTCATAAAGGCTCTTTACAGCTTACGTTCCAGGCAGTTTTAGTCGTCTTCTTGAAGATTCAAAGAGAAGATCCCCAGGTCTAGCTCCTGCTTTCCTGTGACATTAATGTCAGTCCTCACTCAATTGCTTAGTGGGATTCCTGTTGCAGTCACACCAGATTCTTGGTCGAGTCTACTCACCTTCCCTCATCAAACGTTTTCTCTCTTCTACAGTCAAACTGGACAGCTGCTTCTCTTGCCTGAATGCTTGCAAAGAGGTATTCAATTCAAGCAAGAAAAAGAAAATTGCTTTTATTCCTAAAGGCAGCCTACTTGCAAAGAGCTATTACAGAGAGTATTGCTAGGCTACAATTGATGGGAGTGCCTCACTTGCTTAATACAAGTGGGTCATGGACATTATTGTCAATGCTAGATAGAATGAGGGGGAGTAACATGCAATGGAAATAAACTGCTTACTCACAAGAAACTATCAGCCTATCTTTAGAATCTATCAGCAAGAATTACCAATAAATGGACTGAAGTAAAGGCCCAAGATCATCTCTGCTTCTGCCTCTGCACTTCATAAAAAGACAGGCTTGATATCATAATGGCTTCTTTTATCACCGGCACCAAAATAACTTAAAACTGAACCTTTCACAACAGGGAAAAAACAACAACAAAACAACAGGGAACCCCAACAACTACCTTCCCTCAGTACAGATGTAAATACAAGACAGGTCAATAAAAGGCAAATCTTTTTTATTTTTTCTTTTGCCAGTTGTTATAGGTGAATTAAAGTCCAGAACCGTTAAGCTGTTAGTTCTTCTCAAAGGATATTTTTCAAAGTAGTAGCTCACATACAAAATACATCTTAGCATGTATTACAATGAAAAAGTGTTGACAAATTCACACTTTGAATTTTATTCAAAGAATAAAGTACCAGTAAAGATACACATTTGCTCTACAGAGCCTTACTGCAAGCTCCTTGCTCTCACTGAGAAGTACTTACTCTTGCAGACAATCCCACTCAGACCAGTGCTACTTTTCCTTAGATGATCCATTAAACTACTCAGGCAGTAAGTGCTGTGAATGGGATTTGCAATCTGTTAGGAGTGCCTGTTGAGAGGATGGTCTGTATTTATGAAGCAAATGCTGGAAAACAACTGAATGACAGCTCCTTTACAATAAACGCAGACAGCACAACTGGCATATGTTGAAATTCTAAGGCAACAATATTGGACCAGCACATGAAACTGTACTGCAGAGACAAAACTTAAGCACTGTTTTCTTCTGCAGAGCAGTCATACTCTGATTTTTATTTTTCTAAATTTAAATTTATTAAGAGGTAGCAATATAGAATGCCAATACTGCCACCAGATAACTTATGTATTCAGTTCCTGCACTGAAAAAAATCCTTTATGACAATATGTAGTATCTTGTTTGAATAGTATTCTCCATGTTTAAGGACGTCTATCTAGCAATACTTATGTATATTAAAAATAATACACGTGCACATTTCTGCAGTCTTGCAATGTAACAACTTCTCATTGGTAACTATAAAAACGCAGTTTCGCACTGCTACCATACACCAGGACTCCTACAGCAGTACAGAGAATGTACAGATCTCTTACCTACAGCTGGTAATACTGTGCATTGTGCAAATTGTCCAATCCCTTCCGAGCAGCAGTTAGAAGAAAATTTGAGGATATCAAAATACAGATTTAAATAATTTACTCTTAAAAACACTCATATTTATAGCCTCTTACAGAAAATAATTCATCTGATTATCAGATATGTCCTCAGCTTTTCCAGTTCCAAGGTATACACAGGTCTCCATCCTGCAGCACGGAGTAGAAATGTGAAATGCAAAGGTGCATGCCTTGTAGGTACGGCAATGATTCTTCCAGCAGCCGCTTACAACAATCTATCATCTGTGCGCTGGTGACGCTGGGCTCCTTGTACAGCCGCTCCAAAGAAAACTTCTCAGCAGAAGTATCCATCAGCTCTTTTTCTGTAATCATCATCCTAGCAAATAGAGATGGTACACAGACAAAATTAGAACTTCTGCAAGTATTGAACTTAAGAAAAAAGCTGGACTACACGTGCTTCCAGGACTGCACAGCAGCGTGCCCACACACTTCAAAGCCTTCAAAATCTTTTTTTTTTTTTAAACCAACCAGGTAGTCAGAGAAATACCAAGAAGAAGAATCCACAGAGGCTCCATTTTTAATATGAGACAGAAGTTAAAAACCATGAAAGTACAAGCTTCAAGAGTAAAATCATATTAGTAACTACCCTGCCTTCTCAACCAAGACCAATGATCTCTGCACGTCTTAAAAAAAAAACAATGGATGACAGATACAATCATCTTACATGCATTACTAACTTACTAATTGCAGGAAGCATACAGGGTAGTGAAACAACAGCTTACAGATGTTTGCTCTTTTTTAAATTCACCCCAGACATTCAGGCTACTCAGAAAAAAGTTAATCTGCAGAATCAAGAGTGTCTGAAACTGTGGATCGTATGATCTGAATACAGTGAAGATTCAGAAAGACTGTAGCTCAGGCACTGTGCCACATTAACACAGCTACACCTCTTCTAGAGTCAGCTGGTGATCAGAAAACTGCTACACACTGAGTTTACAGACTCCCACATCTCCTGCTGGCTCTGGACTGGACCAGACCTCGAAATGCAGAGGGACTGGAGCATAGTGCTGCTGTTAGGTCAGCTTGGATTCAGCTTGGTCTGACAGCATCTGCAGCATCAGAGGTGGGATGACTCTGTATCACCAGATTCCAGAGCTGGTGCTACCTCTCATCTAATGAGCACTACTGTGAGAAGAGCCCAAAACTAAGTATGGTCACAGCTACTGAGACCCGCACTGAATGTCTGCTGAAGGGGCTCAACTCTTCAGCTGAGGTGAGTGCAGGAGCTGCTTGCATTTGCACAGCACTGCACACTCTCTGACACCTGTGAGCCAAGATCTCCCCTTCAGTGAAGCCTCAAGCTCCCTTAAGGATATCAAATTAGCTGCACACAGTGAGAAACACAGGCTTATTTTTAGTTGCTTCCTCGAAGATGCTTAGATGTCAATAAAACACAATATAAAACAGACACTACACAAAAGTGAAGTAAATTCATATTAAATCCTGTGTTACAACTGACATCATTATTCATGTAGGTAACACAATTTTGTAGAAGAGTAATATCCAAATTCTCCAGCATAGCAAACCATACAGAAGCCCAGCTACTTTCCTTTCTCTCAGATTCCCTTTAACAACAACAAAGAGGGTTAGGAAAATGTTGAGAAGTACAGAATGAATTCTGTTCAAGGAAGGAATAAATGGAATAGGAATTTTCAGACTCAGTAAGATGTTAACAACAGAGAAATATCACATATCCACACATACACCAAAAGGAAAAGGTGATAAATACAGAATAACTTTTTTATGTTACCTATGGAAGAAGAACAAGAGTGCCAAAAGAAATAATCAGGCTGCAGGTTTATAAAACAAAGGATACCTCATTCCTCCTTAACGTGCACGGCAAACATAATCCAACTGCACAGTTTGCTGCCACAGGATACACTGGAGCCACAAAACATAAGCTGGCTCAAAAAAATAATTAGATAATTAAGAGGGGAGAAACGATCTAGTGAATGCTCTTAACATGAGATAGAGCTTCCAGCTCCAAGTATTCATTCAATTACAGACTGTTGGAAACTGGAGAGGAGTACAGAGCAAAAAGAACACCATAATTTTGCCCCATTCATACAGCCTTTCCAGAAGCTAAAAGATGAGGGGGTACCAGCAGACTCTCGATATGACCAAGTATAGCTGTTCTCAATTATTTTACACAAACCAGCAATCATCCAACAGACAGAAGAACTGAGATACTTAGCTTTGCCTCTTACATTGTTACAATGCAGCTGCTTACACTCTGAGGGGAGCCCCACATTTCTTTCACTGCTAACCTAAAGATGTCATTTTTCCTGGGTAGTCTTGATGATGAGGAGTAGAACAAGGGCTTAAGGAGAATGCATTACCAGGTGCAAGTGCATACATTTGCTACAACACCCTCTCAACCTCCACAGACATACATTTCCATCTGTCAAATATGGGTAGCTGGATAAAGCACCATTCAGCAGTTATCATTCACATGGCTGAAATAACCAACCTTCAGAGCTGTGCCTGGCTTATGGAAAAATTCCAGGAAGCCTCCACGCTTTACCAAAGTCCACATCCCAAATGAATCTTCCCAAGGCACTGGATCTTAACTGAGCTAGAACCATAAAGCCTTCAGTAAGGCTCATTCTTAAAACAACCTTCAGAGAACATGCTTGGTCTACACATCATAGATATGCTCGTGACAAAGCGTGATGTTTCAACAGTTCATTACAGGATTTCTCAAGCAGAAAAATAAACTTGCACTAACAACATGCGAAGGGACAGTGCCACCCAGTTACATATCAGTGCTTTCTTCAAAATAAAATCTCCACTTAGTGCTCTTAATCCTCAAAGGTACATTCAACATATAAGGTCAGCAACAAAAGTACAGCTGTGCTAGATATCATTAGTTCCGTGACATACAATAAGTGCTGGTTCTGTGACTCACTATAGCCATCCTCTCTTCTCATCAGCATCTGTGAGAAAGTACCAGGGAGGTATTTTTTTCATCATGCTACCCCTAGTTTTTCTTTCTATTCCCCTCACTATGCACTAACTAACCTTTTCCTCAATTGAGTAACAACTAGAAATAGTAATTCTCTAGTCAGACTCAGCTGGTTTTACAGTTTTCTTGTCGCTACAGAAATAAGTAACAGAAGTTTGTTGATTTTCTTATTCAATATCAAGGATTCTTCCAGTGGGGAAGGAAGGAAAGGGCAGAAAAGAAGGGGAAGAAGGGGAAAGCCTCTTCTTTAGTAAAACAAGAGCAACAAAAAACAACAAAAAAAAACACATAGGCAAAAATCCTCTATTTCTGAAGGAAACTATTTCTACAGTATGAAGGACAATCACTTCCTCAGTCATTTCCTAATCATTTCCTATTTGTTTCCATTCAATACTTCAATTTTCAACTCAATAAAGCTGATAGGTAGTTTTGCCTTACAAAAAAGTTGCTTTTCCACCACGAGAGCAAAAATGCTATCCTCAAAGGTCTGGCACTGCTACAAGTGAGAGATATGGTGTGCAAAGATTTTCATGAACAAAAACGTACTGAGCTATAAACACTTACTCTTCCCTTCTTTTCAGATTCTCTCTTGCTTCCTGTGCTTTGGCAATAATAAACCATCGAAGGGTTGCTGGATCACAGACTGTAGGGATGGTAAAGTGTCCAAATTCATGTAAGCTTGGCGTGTATCTATCACTGTAATGAAACACGATGGAAATGAAAAACAAGTTTTTTTTCCCCCCATGTAACCATTTGTGTGTATTACTTACAAAATTAATCCTGAGCATAAGAGTAAGATTACCAATAGATAATCAGAATAGTAGGTAAAAAATTAATCAAGTTTGGTTCGTAAGAATACATAAACATCACACATAAGTCTTTCAATTACATTTTATAAGCAACACAGTCAACTATATTAAGTATACATACTCAGCATCATTATTATACAAATAAATGTTGTTCTGACAGCACAAAACCTTTGATTTAACCCAGTACAACAACATAAGATAAAACCTCCAACCTGGACTCCAACTTGAATAAAATATGCATAATTTCCTTCAGCCTCTTTCCCTAACCCATGTAAAGGCACACCACACCTTTAGAAATAAGACTGATGCACCAAAAATCTGAAATTATTATTAGTTTTCTTTTTAGTGAAAGCAATAACCAGTGTAATCACAAGAAAAAAGTACAAGTTCCAGATGAAATAATTCTTTCCTGCAAATACTCACCTTTCTAGAATCATTTGCAAGCCTCTCAGACTCTGTGGATGAAAAGGCAGTCGACTGTCAAGTAGTTTGTTATAGAAAGAATCCAGAGTGTCATAGTACTCTTCCAAAGTCAAGAGAGGTTGCAGCTCTTCTATATATATTACTTGTATGCCTCCCAGAAGTTGGCTTATCCGATCTTCCAAGAACAGCAGCCTCTCCTGAAGTTTATAATAATTTGGCAATCTCTCAAAAATCTGTGTGGACACATACATACACAAATACTTTTTATGTTACCAGGCATACAACTTAATTTTAAGAAATGAAAAAATTAACAAGAGAATCTGTACAGTGCAAAAAAAACCAACAACAAACAAACAAACAGCAATGGAAACAGCAATCAAGGAATACGTGAAAAAAAAAAAGAAATATTGCATGTATGCATTTTGGGGTGAGATATAATGGAAAAAGTTCATAGGTGTTTTCAGTATTTATGCTATAAATACAATACAACTTGACAAGGTGGATGGATGTCCTCTATCTCTATATACACAGAATTAACAGTCCCAGACCTAAAGCAAGTTATAATCCAAGGCCTGCATAAAATGCGCATCTATTATATGTTGTCGTCAAGAGAGCCTTTGCCATCCTAATGTATCAATTCCCCAAAAAGCAGAGATCCTGTGTCACTGGGAGTAGTTCTTTCCAAGGACTTGGCTAATAATGTAGTTTATCTGAAGTCTGGAGGGAAGGAAAGAACCAGACATCTAGTTTACAAACCTCTACCAGAAAGGCTAAGATGTGATCGGACTTGTGAGCCACAATGCAGAAGGTTGGTGACAGCGAGAAGGCTGTAAGAAGAAACTCTGTCGTAGTGACTACATACCATCGACCCAGCTATTAGCACAACACAGTTTTTCATTCAAAAAAATACTTCTGCTGGGATAATCAAGTGATCTCAGAATAACCTCTTTATAGATACAAGTAGTAGAATCCTAGCAGCTTTTGGCAAGTTAGAAAGAGGAAGCATTTATCTCATTAAGGAACGGACTGGCTTTCTTTCCCCAGTATTGGCAAAATACTTGTATTCCAATGACTACCAATGCAAATCTCAGAGTAGAAAGCTTTGCATTCAACTCCAGTTTCTCACTTCATTAAGTACATACATCATTCCATATTAACAAAACATGGTTTATCGTCTCCCTCAGTGAAAGGTACAGGCAAAAACCCAAATTGCCACCAGAGAAAACTTTGAGTTGAGTGCTCAGTTTTCACATTATAACTGACTGAAACTCAGAAATAAAATATTCTTATATTCTAGTTGGGTGAAACTTCCAACAGAAATTCCTCTAATTATCTCCTTTACATGGAAATATTTTTTGATAGAACTACTGCCAGCATTTTAATTATCAAGATTCAGGAAAAAGTCCTTAAAGTGACTTTGCATACAATGCTTTATGACATAGGATGCCAGAAAGTTTGCTGAATCTGAACTTTACACAGACAACAGCAGAATCTGCATATTCACTAAATTTCTGCAGCACTCTATGATCTGTCTAAAAGGACAAAGTGAAGAGATGGTTGATTAGCAGCCACTGACTGAATAGATCCCTTCACAACTCCATTTAAGTCTCATTTAGATCAACAATCAGAACAGAATTCCTAAATTCTTCATGGGAACGAGTTCTTTACAGATGAAGAAATATTCTGCCAGTGCTTATTGCACTTATTGCTTAGAGACAAACAATGCATAACTTCTTATTTCTGTGATTTCTTATTGCTATCTAATCAGAGGTGAGACTGGTTTGTAGTAGAAGCAGCAGTAAAGACTTGACACTGATTGCTGTAAGATAAGATTAAACGTACAAGGTTACGCTAAGCACAGCAGCCATGTTTCTTCCTTTAAATTACTCATCAGTAATCAGCAACAAAATTTTGATTATAGTTTAAAGAAGGATGTCATAACAACAGAAAACAGACACCTTACTTTGGTCCAGTGATGGTGAACATCCATGGTCCCCAGCATTATGTGGCCTGCTGCACTCATACCTGAGCGCTCTGTGAAAACCACCGTGCGTCCTAAAGAGAGAAGAAAGCTCCTTACCAACTCTCATTACTGTAATCATTCACACAACCATGGAAGATTTAGGCACCCTGCTAATGTGTCACAAGCAACACATGTTCTTAGCACGTACAAGATGAATAGCTGCTTTCCTTATTCTCAAAATCCAAAAAAGTGATTCTTGAAGACTCTAGTTCAACAGTTTTCCATACAAACCTTAACCAGCTTTTATTTTCTCCCTGTTTAAGCAGATAGATCCAGTAGATTTTTAGTTAACTGGATTTTTTTTCTTACAAAGACTATCTGTTAATAAAGAAAAAATAACAGCAAACAGCTCCTTCAAATAATCTGTAACAAATAACATACACCCAAGGAAATGTGTGCTGTACACTTAAGATACACAGGAATACAGTAAAGGTAGAAGAACTATTAGCATAATCACTCAACACTGCTTCTACAAGGTTCTCCACAGCATGCAAGCCATCAGAAATGTCTTCCTGTTCATTTTTTGCTTAAAAATAGAAGTAACATAAAAGGCTCAGAGTAAATGTGTCTGGTTTTTTTTTTTTTAGTACAAAAATTCTTAAGAATTCTTCAGGGTAACAGCACAACTATTTGTCAAAATAAGCTTCCAAAAGAAGTCTTCAGTATAAGGTATTCATTTACAAGACAAGGGTTAATAAGAATATTTGAGATGTAACAAGCACCAAAATCAGAGTGTAAAAAACAAAACATAAATAAAGACACTTCATTACCATAAAATAAACAGATGACAATTGGCAAGCTATGCAGCATGAACATTAAATGCCTGTAACTGTCTAAAATCCCTAAATAAAACGCTGTGTGCCAGTCAAGCTAGAATTCTTGAGATCATAAGAGCAGGTATAGCCTTCATAAAAAAAATCATGATGAACAACTGTAAGAAAGGGTTGTAATTCCACTTTTGATGTTATGCTGTCCAAGAACTGTAAAGCTGAGACCGAAGTAATTAGGAATTTCTAGGATAGAAAAAAAAAAATAGACAAAAAATTGAATATAATGGCTTCCAAATGTGAGATCAGTTATTCTTCAAATGTTTAGATGCCAAAGGCAGATAATTATGTTAAAAAAGTATTTATGGGAAAAACAAAGCTTCTGTTGAACTCATCTCTCTACCTAAGCATACTGACATTTGAGCCTGCTCTCAGTAACTGTGTATTCAAAATCCTTATGAAAGAGCAATGCTGACTACAAGAAATTGAGTGCATCATCCTACCCCAAGGCAAGATCAGCTGCATCTGTATGGTTACTGACAAGTATTTATTAATCACAGAATCATAAAGTCATAGAAAGGCCTGGGTTGCAAGTGACCACAATGCTCATCTTCTTTCAACCCCCTGCTACGTGCAGGTCTCCAACCAGCAGACCAGGCTGCCCAGAGCCACATCCAGCCTGGCCTTGAATGCCTCCAAGGATGGAGCATTCACAGCCTCCTTGGGCAACCTGTTCCAGTGCCTCAACACCCTCTGTGTGAAAAACTTCCCCCTAATACCTAACCTAAACATCCCCTTGTCTCAGTTTAAAAACATTCTCCCTTGTGCTACCACTATACACCCTCGTAAACAGTCATTAAGTATATTAAGTTATTACTAAAGATCTTTAAAAAATTGAGACTACAACAGGACCTCTCCAGTACTTTACATCCTCAGCACGTGTAATTAAAAAAAGCTAATTTGAAATCTCATACAGTTTAAACCTATTATTTATTTATTGTCCTACCCACTTCACCTTTTCAGAAAGGATTAAGTGAACCCCCAGATGAAAGCCACTCAAAACTGAGTATCTGAGGACAGTCATAAAATGTTACAGTTACAGCAAAGAGCTACTGCCAGGGGTCCAACAGCTGTTTCAGCATGTCAGGTTTAAGGAACATTCGAGTTTTTCCTGAGAAAAGACTTCAGTGTAAGCATTTTACGGAACACACATGATAAGAGAAGATAACACAATTTTAAAGGGGTCCTAGTAAGCATTCCTTATATTAATTCTTCAAAGATTTACTACCATTTTTGTCTTGCATCTACCAGGGTTAACAAACTGTTGTTAACCAGTGCACCCTTTTTTTGTTTTTACTGCTTAGACTACTGACTTCACCTTGCTCAGCTTGCATTTACTGAGTAGCAAAATAACAGCTGAGTGTAGTGAATATCATGGGAGGATACTTGGTCACTTGAAAAAAACCAAAAACCAGCCAGTAGACAATGTAAATTCTGACCAGCTTTTCAGTAAGCCTGACAAGTTTTCCTGCAGCTATCAAAAGCACTCATGAAAACCAACAGAGTTCCTCTGACCCAGAAGACTCGAGTTAACCTGTGAATCAATACTGTATTGGGATGTATGAAACAAGTAATGGAAACATACCTTTGACATTCTTTAATACTTCAGGTCTCTGTTGGACTAAGCGACCTAGACTGTGCAGCTGGCTACAGCGATGAGCAATACCCCAGCTTCTCTGCCACCTAAACAAAAGTCCAATTGAGAGCATTTCATTCTCAACATTATAAAAACCAAAGAAAACAAAGCAATAAGTGATTTAAGATACAGACGAGGCTTATAGATCGAAAAAGCAACATTTCTCTAACACCTATAAAAGCAAAGACCTACTGAAAAGCTGTCCACATCCTATGCTATTTGAAGAGATAAAAGCCTAAATGCTATTGAACAATCTCTCTTGAAGTAAGCACCAATAACAACACGGGATAAAAAAGCAAAGTAAACCTCTCTAAGAGAAGCAAATATAAAAGCTGGTGGACATAACAGAGTTTGAAAATTGAATCTCTTGCTCAATAAGAGGGGAGTTAGTAAGTAAATAGCAATACACAACCCAGTATTTGATTCAGTCACGTGGCATGCAGTTGCTGTTTGCACATTGTGTAATGTTTGTCCAGAGGAGCAAATACTTTGTATTTGGAAGTTTTTTTTTTTTTTTTTTTTTTCTGTCCTAGCTCAAAAACCTACGATTCTTAGTGGTAAGCTGCTTTTTTTTATCATATTTTACAGTAGAAAAATCTTTGTTTCTATAATAATACCTTTGTTAAACCAAACAGTAGCCAGGTTTTACAGTGGGAACTTTAATAAATGTAATTTGACATCTCTTCCATCACAGACATAGCAAAGCTATTAATTACATTTCAAAAAGAGCTTATATCATAGTTGCCCCAGTATATACATACATATTAAAAATATGTTCTGCCAAACCTCCAACTGTTGAAAAGTGGGAAATTGGTATTCCCATGTTGTACTGGGTTTGGCTGGAATTGACTTAATTTTCTTCACAGCAGTCCTATGTTTTTTTCTTTTTCTTTTTTTAAGCTGTTGACAGCACACTGATGTTTTGGCTGTTACTGCATAATGCTGACACAGCACTGAGGTTCTCCCTCTTTTTTCTTCTCTGCCCCCATCAGCAAGTATGCTGAGGATGGGCAGGATTTTTGGAGAGGACAGAGCTGATCCCAACTGACCAAAGGGATGTTCCAAGACCATATGATATTGTGCTCAGTAATAAAAGCTCAGGAAAAGGAGGAGAAGACAGAGACATGAGTAGTTACAGTGTTTGTCATCTCAAAGAACCATTAGGAATTAGTCGAAGTCTCAAGGAATTAATTCCTTATTTTGGTTTGCTTGCACACACAGCTTTGCTTCATTTCACTTGTTAAACTTTTATACTGATCCATAGGATCTCACTTTTGCTCCTCCTATTGTCTTCCTCCAATCACACTGGTGGTATACGAGTGAGGGGCTGCCTTGTGTACTCAGCTGCTGGCTTTGATCAGACCATTACACCTCATCTAGAGAAATCTGTGACTGGAAAAAAACACTCTTTGGGATGGAGCAATTGGCACTGCACCACAGCACTTAAAATGCAATTCAGTCCGTTATATGTCATCCTAATAACTGCCTACTGTTGCCTAGCAATACTATTTTGATACTATATATATATATATTTATACTATACTTTTGGTAGCACTAGAGGGGGATATAAAAAGGTGGCTTACAGATTCTATCTTCTACTCAGCCATCCTAAACACACTCATGGAATGAAGCTAACAACCTCATTCTTCAATTTTCAGGCCTCTAAACATCAGCATTAGACTGGAGGATGACAAGTAGCAACCTTCTATTAACATCCTTATTTTTCAGGTTCCTGGTACTTGAATTCATTTCTAAATAATGGAAGGCTAATAACCCCTCAAAAAAAGAACAAAAAAAACCCAACAGTGAGTCTACACATAAGTCACAAATGCTAGCTCTTTTTGAATAGATTGTAGCAGGAAACTTGTTCCACTGGAAATCTTCTGGAGAAGTCTTACCCAGTATAATAATGTTACTATACATGAGATACAGCTGTTCTGTTGAAAAAAGCCTTTAAAGCTTGTGCATGACATTACGCACTTGCTTTGACTGCCTTCGTGCAGATACAATGGATGTGATTTATTACCTGATATCTGAGAGCTGGAGTTGGTGAGAGAGCTCAAACTTTAAACGTTCTAGTTCTTCCCTAAGTGGCAAACTCTTCTTCAGCTTTACAACTGCACTCGCTTCATTACCATCCAACCAGGATCTAAGAAAGAAAAAAAGTAGACTGCAGTATTCTCTCTCAGGCAAACAGTAATCTAACCACAATAAAATGTTAGCAGTAAGAATTCGAGTTAGAAGAAAAAAAGTCTTTTTAAAGTAGAAGACAGAAGCTGAAACAGTTGAACACTTCCCCTTAAAATAGTAAGAAAATGTCATGGCTCTTGTTCTGGGGACTAGGCAATCAAATTAAACAAAGCACTTTGACAGTGTTACAACAATTAGATTTTGAAAGTTGTGAGAAGTGGCGAGCAGCATATCAGTGCTATTTATTTAGGACAGCAGCTTCAGAACTTAGTGCTTTAATGAATGAAATTCCCAATCATATCTTAAATAAACAAACAAACCCCAAAACGATCCTCGTAGACCATCAAATAAAGGAGGTGGTACTAAAGGGCCAAGTTACACAACTCTTACAGAGCTGGGGTGAACACAGATTACACAGGTCAAAGATTTGCCGTCCTTTTTCCAGTAATCGCCACAATGCGACTCGCAGAGCACTTCTAAGGCTTCGAATAAATAAACCATTCTGTTTGTAGGAGAAAGTTACTCTTTAATTTAGCCTCATACAGAACTCCAAGGGGGAAAAAAAAAATAATACAAGCCTGAACAAAAAAGGTTCAGTGCCAAATGGCTAGGTATTGAAACAAGACTGTTAATACATAACTGTTTGCGTCGCTCCTTGTAAATGTGTAAAAACCACTAAAAAACATTGTCTACCTGGTAATTCTTGATTAACTGTTTTACAGTAGCACAAGCACAGCAGTTTTCCTTGGGAAATGCTATGTAGGATAGTGGATATTTTTTGCTCTGAAGATGCTACCGTCACAATGTTAAATTTATTTCAAATTGAATTAAGTCTCACTGCTATAAAAAGGGTTTTTGAGACAGCATTCTTAGTTTGTTCTCAAAATCACACACGCAGACAGTTCATAAACAGTTAACTAACTTCTAAATTGTCATGCATTTATGCAAGTTCAGCATTTATAATTGCTTTAATTTAAGGTTGGTACCCCAAACACCACATTAGAAGCACAGTGCTATGACATCTGGCAACTTCAAACATTCCAATCTTGATTTTCATGTATTACTTCCTTTGTGTATTATCATCTTACAAAAAACCCATAATCAAATAAAAGCCTTACATACATTAAAGTTGTTTCCACTCTTTGGGCTTGGTCAAGTTCTTCCTCAGGATCCTTGAATCCAGTAAATGAATAGTAAGTCTTATCCCATTTGATAGGTCTGTTCGGCGTCCTTTTCGCCTCCTTATGGGGCTGAGAGTTCACACTCAAACTCTGAATATGCTCTGTAGATAAACTGCAGGAGTTGAGAATATCCAATACTGTGCTCAGGAGATCTCGTGTGTGTAAAGTAAAACTGACGGCTCGAAACCCTACAAAAGACAAGTTTCACAAAATTAGCATTATTTCATTGACACTGCTTTAAATGCTTTCACATTTCTCTCATACAAGAACTGAAGCAAAGGTGCACATAGGTAGAAATTACTATTGCGATGTTTTTTCAATATTCACTTCAAAATTGAAAGCATTTGAACCTTTAAAATTATACATTCCCAAAACCGTAAACATTTTAAAGCAGCTGAATGATTGGATAAATTGAAAACCTAGCCATAGATGCAGTAAAACCCATGAGGAAGTGTTTTTGCATTAGCTGTGACAGTTCAACACAGAATTCCTACTAGTACTCATCATCAATTTGCATAGAGTTTACTATGGAAATGCAGTGGTGTAACAGCTCTTCACAGACTATGAAGAAAAGCTTCAGAACAGAACACTGCACTTGCACAGTGGATAAAACTAAGGTTCAGTATCATCAGATAGAAAGCCAATACTGGAGTAAAAAGCAAAAGCTTCCAAACTGCTCATACTGCTAACTATTTTCTTGAGTACAGTACGATTTTGTTTTCTTTTCCTGAAGTCTCTCATAATTAGCTCATGCTTCTTGACTAAGATACGGAACATAAAACTCTTCAGTTAAACACTTAAGTGGTACTAAAAGCACAACAACTAATTGACAACTATGTTTTCCACTTCATATTTCATAGTTGAAAAGTCACTGTGACTGCACACAGTTAAGAAATGGCCTTTCTTAAAGAATTTTAATACAGGAAGATACATTCTGCATGATATAAAAGCACCTGAAGTACTGAAGGATTCTTGAACATTAGAAGAGTTTGGTTCTCTTTCTCTTACATAAAAGGTAAGCTGAGTTGGCTTAAAGGACTGAAATCCTGGTTTCTGTAGATTCTCCAAGTAGCCATTTAACCTCTTCAGAGAGTTTTCATTTACTGCCTGTTAAAAAGAAAAAAGAAAAAAGGAATTACAAATGTGGCCAGTTCTCATCTAAGCCTCTTCAATCTCACACGTAGAATTTGTTTTTACCATCTGCCAGCTGCTCTTACTGAACAGTCATACAGATCATATTTTCAGCATAAATGAATAATTATCTTGCACAAATTCACTGTGTGATGTACATGCTTGTACACTCCTGCACAAACTTCATTTTTAAGGCACTTAGCTTAAAAAAAAAAAAAAAAAACCAATTGATTTCAAATGTAACATACAGCCTTTCAAGCAGTAAGTATTATAAATCAGACTGGAAGAATTTCATATTGTCATCACAACTAAACAGAAAATATAACCTGTGAATTAGAAAGAAAGAGTTTATTTTTAACAAGAATAAAGAAACAATGAAACAATGTCTCCTTTTGCTCTTCTGTAACAACTATTTTCAGCCCTGTGCTTTCTTCACTGACAGCACAGAAAACAGATCACTCCCATCTTTGACATATGTCACATTTACAAAGAAAGCCCACTGCAAGATCTTTACCCTCTCTTTGGGATGCTGGCCAAAGAAATCTGGATGCACAGCAAAGTAGAAAGGTTTGAGAGCATGGATGGCATCAGCTCCTGACAAAGTTCTTGACTGGATAATGCATTGTAGCAATATCTTCTCCAGACATAACCTAACAAAGTAATAAAACGTTTATGTATGATGCAATCAACCACATGACAAGCTGATATAAATTACATTAGAATGTGACAGAATGGAGTAAACATTCTCAGTTGCAAACATAATCATTTAAAAGTGTTACTAGAAGTCTGAGGGCTGGATCTTTTTTACCCTTGGGACTCACCATCCTGTATTAATACAGAGCAAACCTAATAGGTTCCAGACACAGTGGATGCTAAAGGCTGATTAAAGACATTTAAGCACAATAACATTTTCCTCTAAAGTAGGCTCAAATGGTAATTTCCCAGTCATGTAGTTAGAATGATAAAGACTGCCTCCAGTGGTACTTTTTGCAGACATTCCAGAAGCTGCTGCTAAAAAACCAACCCTTATATACTTTTGAACTCCCAAGTTAAAACCACAGCCTTCCCATTTTTTTTTCCAAGCACTACCAAAGAGGATTAAAGTTTACCCAGAAATAATCGAAAAGGTTCTGCATTTGAGGACCATATGGTCAGACCATTCAGAAACAAATTCAATCTCATTTCCCAAAAATACCCTTTTAAAGGCATCTAGTAAAAGATGACAGCACTTTTTTGTCCTTTGATCTTCATGCAAAGAGAAGAAAACAAGGACAAAAAGGAATTTCAGTGGTATAAAATATGACTGCTTCAAGTAAGAACTGAAAGAAAAGTTCTAGAAACAGAGAAAATACTTAAGATTGGATATATTTGCTATGTGTAAATTAAACAACAGTTCTGCAAAGAGCTTACTTGTGTAATAGAAGACTAAAACTATGCGATAGTATAGTAATAATAGTAAGCAAGACCATCTGTACAAATTGCTATTCACTCAGCATCCTATACTGAATAATAATCCTGGACACAGAAACACGTGAGGCTATTTTCTGATTGCTCTTGTTAATTAAAAAAATACCCCCAAAGCCCTAAATTTCTGCTCAGACAATAAGCAGTCTCTCTCCTATGGGGAAACGTTAAATGACAACAGTTGAGTTGTCAAGTAGATGCTATGACCCTTACTTTACCTTTTTTCAGTCAACCTTTCCAGCTATTCAATTAGAAATGTGAAAGCAGTTAAAGCTAATGGTTTCTGCCTCTAAAAGGAAGGCAAATATTTAACTAGCAGCTTGCTGAAAACAGGAAAAGTTTTGTAGAAAAGTGGGAAGGAAAACTTGTAATGTAAGAAGATCAATGACATTTCCAACTGCTTTGACTAAAGACAATTCTTCAGAGTGTAAATTAAATGTAAGATAAAATCACATCATTTAGTACGGGCAAAAATTTCTACCTCTTTGATGGCAGCATCTAAGAAAGACTCCAAGACTAGTGTCCTGGTATCTGCAAGGACTGAATTCATTTCCTTCCTAGTAGCTGGTATAGTTCTGCGCAAAGGATATTTCAGCTCCCCATGTTGTCCTGAAAAAAAGGGGCTAGGGAGGGGTGTGCACAGATAGCTTGGAGGGGACAGAAACAGAACATCTAACCCAAACTTGCTAAGGGGTTATTGCATACCATATTGTGCTGTGCTGAACTACACAACTGGGGAAACTGCTGCTCAGAGACCCGCTGGGCATTGGTCAGTGAGCAACTGCATCACTTGTTTTGTATATTCTTCTACTGTTATTATTTTCCCTTTCTGTCCTATTAACTGTCATTATCTCAACCAACAAGTCTTCCCTTTTTTCTGATCCTCTACCCCATCTCCCTGCGGGGGGAAAGAGTAAACAACTGCATGGTGCTGAGCTCACTGCTGGGTTAAACCACTGTGGGTGCCCAATAGGGAGCTTGAAGGCTGAGGTAACAACAGATCTGACAAGAGACTGTTGAAACAAAACTGTATTAAACATTACATTAGTTTAATAGTTGTTGGTGACAGTGTTGATCCTTTCACTCTCAGAGCAGTCGTGCTCATTCTCACAGTTGCATTATGGAACACTTGCTGTCTGTGCTCCCTCTTGGGCTGTTTACTATCTTACACTGATCCTATATAACACTGACCTATGTTAAAATTACTGCCTGGGAGATTAATCTGGTATTTGCATTCTGTACTGCCATCATCTCCGCACTTTGGGAACCATCTCTTGGAAACTATTAATAATTACACTCTTTACTGTGTGTTGTGTTTTAACCCAGCAGGCAGCTCAGCACCACGCAGCCTTTCACTCGATTCCCACCAAGCAGGATGGGGGATAGAATCAAAAGAAGGTAAAACCTGCGGGCTGATACAAAGACAGCTTAAAGGACCAGAACGAAAAAAAAAAACAACAAAACACCAAGAACATACAGAACAAGTGGTGCACAATGCAATTGTTCACTATCTGATGGTGACACTAAGTCAGTTTCTGAGCAGTGACCCAGTCCCAGCCAACTTGCCCTGGTTTTGCTATTCAGCACCACACCAAAGTGGCATCTCCTTGGCCAGTTTAGGTGAGCTGTCCCAGCTGTGTCCAATCCCAGCTCCTTGCATCCCCAGACCCATCGCTGGCAGGACAGCATGTGAAGCTGAAACGCACTGCTCAGCAACAAGTAAAATACCACTACGTTACCAATGCTGTTTTTCTCCCAGAGCCAAAACTTCCCATCATTCTAACCACTATGAAGAGAACCAGTTCTATTCCAGCTGAAAACAGGACAATATCTACCCCTTACTCCCTATCATTAACATCATACTCAGGTCCCACATTTTCCCATACTTCCCAAATAGGTACTATCATCCTTCGTGCCTTCTGATACATACCCACAGTATAATTCCCATAGACTACAAGCCATCTCTCTAAAACGCCCACTGATCTTGTTTTGCCCATCTTTGGGCTTCATCCATCCTAACAGTCCGTCAGCTAAGTAGGGAGGATGCTGGACTGCTGCATGCTGAGGCCAGCTCTGGTTCCATCAGAAACCCTTCTTCACGAATCCGGGCGATTCTTACAAAGCACTGAGCAACCACCATAGGGATGGCATAAAGCACTCTACAGCAATTAACTTCATTCACTGAATTCAAATTGCTGGCTATTCTCACCCAACATCAAATCTCCCAGAGGCACACAGAAGGATGGGAACATCCAGTGCATCACTCACTAAGTGTATCCTGGTCCTCCTGCAAGAGAGATCCCTTGATGGGTTTGCCTTTGCTCAAGGCAAGAAGAACCCAGACTGTCTTACCCAGCACGTTTTGCCTGTGTGCTACAGGGACTTTAGCTCCTCCTACAGCATGTAAGAGCTTCCACTGGGCAGAGCCAGCTCAACTCTCAGATCCTGAGTGTTGACTAACAAGGTGGCTTTTGCTAAATGCAAACATGTCCAATGTTTGAATGTGCCAGCACCCAGTTTCTAACAGATCACTGTATCACTTTATCTTACCAGAGGCTGGTACATGATAGAGGATGCGACCTCTCTGCTCACTGCCATGCACTTTCACCCTGCTGTCTATCAGGTTACTTCAGAAATGAGTCTTGTTGCCTGACACAGCTCTTTCTAGAACGCCACGTTGCCCAGGACTTTCCTCTCAAGACCCAGGACAGTGTTTTGGGCAGCAGCACGGGGCACGGGATATGTTTCCAGACAACCGGTGGCTGCTTCCACCATTCTAAGTACACGGCACTTGTCGTGGCAGGTTTGTGAGAGTGTGACATAATCAACCCACACCAGGCCTTCCCTGGTTTCTATTTCAGCCATTGTCCTCCATACCAGAGAAGCATTATCCACCTGGATTCCTTTACTGAAGCACACATTTCATACTTATATTCATATTCTGTGCAATAGCGTCCATGGTCAAGTCTACCCCTTCATCTCGAGCCCACCTATACACTGCATCTCCTCCTTGGTGGTCTGAGGTGTCCGTGGGCCCACTGGGCTAAAAGTAATTCACCTTTCTGTTGCCAGTTCAGATCTACCCAAGCCATAGCAATCCTAGCAGCCCAACCCATCAGCTGGTTATTTCTATGCTCCTCAGCGGCACAACTCTTGGGTACAACGCTGCCTGCTGTTGACCACTAGGGCCTTACACTCTAGTAAGATCAGCACATCTAATCTGCCTGAGGAACTGCCTCCTGAAAACTGGAGCAGCTGTTTTCTTGGAAGAACCCCCTTCTGAGTTTGCATGTCTTCACAATCCACACATCCCTGTCTCTATGGCCAGAGTACATTTTCCATCCCATTTCCACATACCCTCTCCAGGGTCATGCAGGTAAAATCCCAGAGTAGCATATGTTGTGCACCCACTCTAACCTCCCTCTTGAGCAGAGAAATGTTTTTTCCCCCCACACACCATCTCTCTTACCCTGAAGAACTGTCATGATAGGTGGAGCCCATAGTTATAGACTAAAACGTACACAGAGTTCATTTAAAGGGATGGCCCACAGCCTATTGGAATGATATCTTCACACACACATCAAAAGACAAGATGTAAATTATATGGAATGCTGGGTGAAAATTGTTCTGCTATCAGTTTGAATAGAGTTAGGTTTCTTCCTAGTTGCTGGCATGGTTCTGTGTTTTGGCTTTAGGATGAGAATAACGCCAATAATACACTGATGTTTTAGTTGCTGCTCAGCAATCAAGGACATTTTGGCTTCTCTGCCAGCGAGGAGCCTGGAGGTGCACGAGGGAGGCAACAGAAGCAAGACAGCTGACCCAAACTGGCCACAGGGATATTCCACACCATGTGGTGCCATGCTGAACAACAAAAATGGGCTGAGTATGCCAGGGTACTGTCACTAACTGGGGACTGGCTGGGCATCGGGCAGCAGGGCAGTTAGCAATTACATTCTGCATTATTTGTTTATACTCTTTTGTTAAAATTTTTTCCTCCTTTTCTCTCCTCTTAAACTGTCTGTATCTCAGCTTACCAGCTTTGCCTTTTTCCCCCCCCATTCCACTGGAAGGGAGCAAGCCACGGGCTGCGTGGTGCTGAGCTGTCTGCCAGGTTAAACCACAAGTAGCCATCATCTTCTTATTCACAATATCAGGAAGAACTGAAGTAGTAAAGTAGAAAATAATATCCCGCTTTTATAGAGTGCAAAAGCTCTTAACAAGAAAGTGCCACAGTTGCTCAGTGACAAAGGAAAAAGCTGCATCTGCCTTGGCAAGAAAGGAAGCAGAGCACCCTGAATGAAAAGCCCACTTCATATGCATCACTGTTTGGATCCAGAAATGCAAAACCAATTGCCTCACTGAGGGAAAAGTAGCCATTTCTGCATATTTTCTTTTGCAGAAAGTGGATACAAAGAAAAAAATCTCTTTCCAGCAAAGGTAAAAAACAACAAGTAAACCCAATGAGTTATCTATGTGATGGCAGCTTTTGATTAACAGCCATGTAAGAAACCCACTTCCTACTAGGTGCAGCTACCAAGAGGAAGAAGGGGGTTTGTTTCTCTCTTCATCTTGCTTGCATGCTATTTCCCATATCCATTCTCCAGCTATGCTGCACATTGCTTTCAGTAGTTAGGAAAAAAGTTCCAGTGTACCTGGAAACTATTCATCACTTCCATCTGGTACTGCATACAAGCAAGATGGCCAAGTATGGACAACTTCAGTTTCCTTGTTTTGTATCTAAACAACACTGTCGTGCTAGTAGGAAGGCTCAGGATTCCAGCCAAAAGTCTATTTTGAACTCGCTTAAAAGAGAAACGCTCAAAGGCCAAAATTAGTCTGCGTGACAGAAGGGTATATTCACTCACTGAAGGTGAAAGACACAACTCTGAGGCATCCTTCAAGCAAAGTAACAAAATAAATTAATTAAAATGGATGTAGAGAGAGAAAACACAAGAGAGATGCCTATGGCTTCTTACAGAAGCAGCAATAAATTATTCCAATAGCTTCATTTTGATTTAAAGAGCAGAGAAAGGCTTTGCGTTAAAATCAAGGTCACAACTACTTTGAGGACAGCCATCCCACGCCATGAAAGATATGAAACACAATCTCTACCAGCACACATTGTGCAATCGTGCTCCAGGGTAGATTTAATTTATGGATTGAATAATTGCCCTCAGCTCTCTTTTCACTTCTTCTTTACATCTCTCCCAAATTTAACTTTCAGCTTATTGTTTTGGCACTGACAAACTCTGTTAAATTAAGCTCGCTACTACAGATACAGTCACGTATTTTTAAACTCTGAGCTTTAGTAGCTCAGTAATACACTGGATATCATATTCAGGTTAAGAATACCATTTCCTCATAACTAAGCAATTCTGCAGCCCTTGCTTTGTCTACAACCTTTTTGACTACTCACTTGAGAACAAGCACACAGATTTTGGGGATTTTCAACTGTGCTGATAACCTCAAGCTTTACAGATGAAAGAGCCAATGAAATAAGCATTAAGTAAACAACAGCAACAAAAACAGCCCATCAATTTTGCATACATGCAAATCATAAGCAAGCTTGAACATACACCAATTAAGTCAATAGCATTTCTTACCTTCTCACAACTCTCAAACAGCAAAACATTTCAGCAACTCAGTGCTCCGGAAAACTTTCATCCATCCAATCACTTAAAGGGAAAAGAAAAGAACCCTATTTAGTAGTGGACATTAGCATCTCTGCCCATCACTTATCAGTGCATGTTCTAAATCCTGTCGGTAACTTTTAAAGTCAGACAAGCAATACATAATAGACAACTCCAGTTTTCAACATAAAACGTTTCCTGTTTTCCTTGCAAACAGGGGGTCTTACAAACGTTCTGAATTCCTCCTTCAGATTTGATCTGAAGAGGAATACTTAAAGATGTTTCAGGCAGGGAAGGTAAAATCCTTACTGATTCAGGATTGCACGTGCTTCCTACTTCTTCCGTTATTCAGAAAGGAAAAAATAATGCTTTTCAAGCATTAGCACATTCTAATTAATGAAACTCCACGTTATTTTTCAGTCCTCTAAGTTCAAAACCTTCCAAATAAGTATGTTTTAAAATGCATATGCCAAGTATTTTTTGGGACCACAATGTAAAGCCAAGGGAACAATAGCACCTGGGAGCATCTTGATAAGTTTTGAAAGAAAACAGTAATTTCTGGACTACACATCCATAACCGAGCATTTTCCAACGTCAGACAAACCATTCACCTATCGGAGTGCAACCATGCACCTAATAATCGTTAGGGATTAGGATCCCTATTGGCAATGTCTTCTTCCCAAGCTTTCAGGGTACTTCTGAGAATATTTTTCTTCATGCTTTTCAAAGTAAAGTGCTATTTTGATGCACCTGGGAGCAAGCCATTGTCTGAGAAATGCCATCCCTGCTTGCCATACAGCAGGATGGTTGCTGTGATGCTGTACCAAAAAGCTCAGCTCATACTTGCGTTTGTGTCTTGCCGACACAAATACGCATAATTAGGGCAACACTGCCATATTTCAAGCAGGAGGTAAACACACTGAGCTAAAACCTCCCCGGTTTATAAATCCCGTCTCCTGATTTCCAGCCAGGTGGGCCAGACACCGACCCTTTCATTTCCAGCGTCCTACCAACAGCCCCGAGCCGTGAACTGCACTGAGCGCATTGACGAGCTCTCCGGAAAGAAAACGCTTTTCTCTCCCTGCGCTTTCAGGGAGGATTTGGACGGAGGGCGGAAAAACACCGAGAGCCTCCCTGGTGGGTGCCGGCACTTTACGTAACCAGACCAAAGCATCGCTGTTTCTCGTCCGCGATGCCCTACGAGCGGCTCAGGAATCGTTCCGTATCTCAAAGCTCCGCGCTCTTACGCAGTTCCACCTTCCCCCCCCCCTCCACCCACCCACCCACCCACCTCACCCACACGCCAGCTCCCAGAAAACAAGTCACCGATCGCGCTGCGGACCTTCTGCCCAAGCCTTCGCCAACCCGACGCCGCGCTGCCGCTTCCATACCGCGAGCACGGCGGTGAATCGGGCCGTTCACCCGTGCCGGATTCTCACGGCAGCACGAAGGAGAACCACGCGTCAACAAAAGAGGCGACTGCGTTCGGAGTGCGGATTCTAGCAGTGCTCGCCGAGGAAAGGAGGCTACGGCAACCCGACCGCCAGCGTTTTTCGGGGCTCCGACGGCGCGGCCAAAGGTTCGGCCGCGACCGAGCGCGTCAGGACGGGCACGGGGCGCAGCCCCCCGGCGGCAGCGCGCCGCTCGCAACGAAGACGGCACCTCTGGGCGCTGCGCCGTCAGAGCACGCGGCGACGCGACGGACAGAAGCGAGCCCCGCCGCTCCGGGCCCGCCGAGCAGCCCTCTCCCGCGCAGAGGACACCAAGCCCCGAGCCGCAGCCCCGCTCACCGCCGCGGCCGGACGGCTCCGCCGCCCTCCTCCCGCCGCCCGCCGGGGCTCGGCCCCCATCGCCCGGCGCCGCCCGCGGCCCCGGAAGAGGTGGCTGGGGGCGGGGCGCGGCGGCGGCAGCGGGCGAGGGGATTCCCGCCGCGGGAGGGGTCGGTGCGCGCATGCGCTCTCGTTCCACCGCTCGCCTCCGTCCTCTTGCGCAGTGAGGGCGGTCGCGCAGGCGCAGCCGTAGTTCCCCCAGGGCTGTGGGGGAGCGGGCGCTGCGGTCCGCCGCCTGCCCTCCCAAAAGCGACGCGGGAAGGGCTGGCCGCGGGTACCGCCACAGTGGGTGTTAACGCATACCTGACAGTTACCTACAGCCTTCGGGACCTTACATGCGCAAAACCTCACCTTTAAGTGAACACGCTAACCCCTCTCCCCCCTCCCCTTTTTTTTTTCTTCTATTTTTTAATTCTACAGAAATAATTATGGTGTTGCTACTGGTGTTGAGCATTTTCACAAAATGCTTTAATTCTGGGTGAGGTGAAACACACAGAAGAGCCAATGGTTTCATGCCTGACCCATTAAAAGCAGCAACCGCTCCCATAAACCTGAGTAACAATCCTGCATCCGTTCCTCCCCCGTTTCATCCCATCACAGATATGCAGCCTTTTACCTTGCAGCATGCCTACAGCTGTTACGCTTTCCCTTGGAAGCGTTCAAGAACCGTGTGGATTTGGCACCCAGGGACGTGGTTCAGTTTGCAACGTATCTTGTTTTAGTCAGCCTAAGCCGTGGGACTGATCTGACCAACAGACCTTCTTAACACCCATGTTTGGCTTTAGCAACAGAAACTCTTAGTCCCTGTTTCTTAACCTCTTACAGTCCCCAGCTGACTGGAACAAACTCTTCACCTTTGCATTTTTTAGTTACTCTTCTGCTCTCACTCATGCTTCCAGAGAGGTGATGCACAACTGCCTGAACACTGCCAGCAAAAAGCTGTCCTCAGGAGATGAGAGGTGGCTGCCCTGCCCTGCAGGGAGACCTGAACGAGAGCCACCTGAGGAGCAGTTCTGGAAAGACGTTTGAGTCATGAACCTTCTGCATTCTCACAACCTTTTATCTACTGATTATTTTATTTACTTAATGGTTCTGGAAATCAAGTGTTTGAACAAAATACCTTTTCAGTTGTCATGTCCTTGTAGTCATTCATTCCATGGTGAAATCTCAGATTGGATCTGTATTTGTATCTCTCAAAAGGAAGTAGAAGCAATGGTTCTAATGTCAGTTTAATGGTTTTCTGTAAGAACCAAGCTCCAGATTGTTAGCTTAAGAGTAACACAAACTCCAAAGCATTGTTTCCTTCTAGTGTTGAATGCTTTTCTCTAAAAAAAATCCCCACAGAAAATATGTAACTATTTTCATACAACGTGGATCATAAATTAAAAGACTAGTAAGCTTTAAAAAACACACTGCTACACAAACTTCTTTTGACCCTCCCTGCACACTGTAACAGGATCTTACTGTTGGGGAAAGATGGGGAAAAAGATCTATTGCTGCAGAGTAGAACAAAGAGAGATTAACTGCTGGGGAGTGCAGCTATCTGCATACAACCCATTGCATTTCTGAGCAGAAGAGGCTAAAAAGTGCACTGACAAGGCTTAGGAACTATCTGTAGCTTGGTGAAGCTTTAAATCAACAGTCTCACAACCCTTGGGAGATTTGCATAATTTTCATAATGCGAAGCATGTTTTTGCCTCCCAATTGAAGCCATTGGTTATATAAGCAAATTGGTTGCATAATTATGCAGATGGGAAAATAAATTTAATTGATTCAATAGAAAAGCGTGCTCTTCATTTGTTTGTTTCTCCTGGGATTTCTTTAAACTCAGGAAGGGAAAATATAAATTGGGAGAGATAAGCAGCAGGTGACGCTGCCAGATTCCTGCTCCATTGTGCAGGTCCAGGACAACGACCTTCTCCCATCCTTCTGAGTACAGGGATGAACTCCTACTTTTAGCCCAAAGTCTCACCATTTATTATGAACACTGCCACCAGATTCAGTGGGACCAGCACTACGGCTTTATCTATACCTCGTTCTCATTTGTGGGTTTGACTTGCCTGTTCTTCATGACACATCTCTGCAGGAACAGAGTCCAGGCGTGTATGCCTGTCAGCAGAAAGGCTGTGGGTCCATAAAAACAAAGGAGTACTCTATACATTCAAATGATTTCTATCAAGTGATTTACACATTTCTGTGTGGAAAGCGTGGTTTTCAAAAGATATCATTAACATGGGAAAGTGTATTTGACTGGCTCTCTACTCCCACCAGAAGGAAACTTTTAACCACTATGATAAAGTAGCTACAGACAGAGCCTTTTTCTCATTGCCCCCTTATTTCTGTCCTGATCCTCAGCCGGAACATAGTCAAAAAGTGGTATTGACTTCTCCAGTCCCATTTCACTCAATGGCACAGAAGCTGTGAGGCCAGCAGTGCCACTATCACGTTTTGATCAGGTCATTTCAGAAGAGTTATGCACAACAGGTAAGACTGCAAAATGTAGACTTGAGATGCGCAACAAAGCAGACGAAGATGCAAAATACATCCAGAGAATGTGAAGGCATAAAAATGTGAATTAGCAATAGCTCTGCCTACACATAGGCATATTTTCCTAAGCTGAGGAATACTGCATTAATATTTTGGTAATTAATGTGTGATCACAATATCAGAGAAATTTCAATTTAATGTTCCTCCTCATGTAAAAGTCTCACTAACACACTATTAGTATTCAGCAGTGAGCTGAGCACAGCACATAGGTCTGTCCTTTATATCCTCCGCTCCAGTCTGCAGTTAGAACTGGAAGCTGGCCATACCCACAGCTGGGAGCTTCAGCCCAATTTATTCATGAGCATTTGCTACATTATGTGCTATCGAATGGCAAAAAACTGCATAGTCTGTCTGATTTCACACATTCCTAACTTCCTCACACAGCATATCATACTCCAGATCCTTGTAGTAGCTACTGAACTCTTCACTTCTACATTGCCATTGGCTTATTCTCTGGCATACCTATGAATATTAATTACAGGGAAATGAATGGAATTAAATATCTCAATGACAATACTCATTCACAGACATTTTGGATATTTCACACAAAGAATAAAACATTTATTAACATCTTAACAACTCCTCCAAAATGACCCTCCCTCCCCTCTTCTTCTACAATATGAAACATCGTATAAACCAACAAGTTTCTATTTCCAACTTCTCGCTTCTTCCATCAAAGATGTGGGTTTTGAAATATCCTCAAAACTATCAATGCTTTGAAACAAAATTGTTCCAAGTCTTCCAAACGACATTATTCTGTTTTAGTCATAAGAAACGGTCCATATCTGCAAAAGTAATAGTTCCAAAAATACACACTGTAATCAGTGAAAACTGAAGAAAGATTTCCACAGAGAAAGAAAGACATTTCTCGTGTTTTCACTAAAAAAGCAGTGCGGAAGCACAGCTTTTCTAGATGTAGATACTAAGTGCAGCATAGGATTTTTTTTCCAAATTTTTCTCTCTCCATCTTCAAACAGGCGTACATCTTGTCTCCTACATGGGGAAAAAAATCTAATAAAGCAGTTGCTTTATTTCTAACACAGAGGTTCTTTCATCTACTAAGAAAGTAACTTATACCTGGGGAAAAGAAAAGACATGGGTACTGTCTGTAGTAGCTGACTTGGCAAAACTGTATCATTTTTGTTGTAAATAACTTTATCCTTTGGAACATTTCCTCATCCTTTCAGGCCTGTTTCCATTCCGCACTGGAGTTTTGCTCACCCATTAATTTAGCAATGGAGTTTCTGCTGCCAAAATGCTATTGAGAATGTTGATAATAAACCTTTCTGAAGTTCTTATACCCATCAAAAAGACCAGATACGTCCCGTATTCTGAGTGGAATCAAAAAGTGTGAAGTATAAGCCTTACAATAAACCTCTTTACATTGCCTACTTGTTTATCTTGGTGACAGAGAAAAAAACAGTCCTGACAGAAAGCTGGATTCTGATGCATCAGTTACATCTTCTTAACTTCTGAGCAATGATGAGGGGAGCTCTCTTTGCCTGTTAATATAAGACATGACTGAGATTGCATCACATCAGCTGAAGACGATACTCAGAAGATGGAGACAAAACACTGCATAAACTTTCCACAGTTCCAAGCTAAGCTACAATGTCAATGACTAACCTCCGAAATATAGAAGAACTTTTTTTTCCTTTTTTTTTTTTTCCTGGGAATGATCTAAGCAAAAATTCAGGGTTACTTATAATGGAAAAATAATGCGGTCTCTAAAACATCACAAGCTTTGAATCTGTAAGGATTACTAAGAGTATTTTGTCCTTCTACATCTCTCAAACATAGTATTAGTCACATCTGGCACTACTTACAGAAATGGGGGATTTAGCTGAGGTTCAGATAGTTTCTGTCTAATTCCAAGCAGGATTAAGCTACAAAGGATTTCACAAAACAGAAATTAGCAGAAATGACTTCGTTTCTCACTGCTGACTACACTGCTGGTTTAGTTTGTTGAAATCACCAAATGGCAGAACTCAAAGACTATTTGAATTAAGTGTCAATTATTCCTCAACAGAAATTTAGAGGTATGAGGCTTTCAAGAAATGTCATCTGATTGTCAGCACTGAATCTAACTTTTTGTTTTAAGAAGGAAGGCAAGTGAGATCTCTGCAAAAGAAGAATACGCCGCCAAGCTCTCTCCTCCAAACAAAAATACATCAACACCACTCCAA